TGGACAAGTTCTTAAACCTCTCAAAGGCTCATTTTTCTCCAACTCCTACATGGAGATGATGGGAATATTGTCCTCACCAGATTCCTGTAAATATTCAGTATTGTACATGTACCTTTATTTTGCATACAATAAAGCTCTATACACTTGCTGGGAAATAAGATTGTTATGCGAGGGGCACCTGGGCGGCTCAGTCAGTTGGGCATCTGCCTTCGGCTCAGGTCATGATCCTGGGGTCCTGGGATAGCGTTGGGCTCCCTACTCAGCAGGAGAGTCTGCTTCTCCCTTTCCCTCTGCCTCTCCCCCTGCTCGATCTCTCTCAAATAAATAAATAAAATCTTTTTCTAAAAAAGGAAATAAGGGGGGGCGCCTGGGTGGCTCAGATGGTTAAGCGTCTGCCTTCGGCTCAGGTCATGATCCCAGGGTCCTGGGATCGAGTCCCGCATCGGGCTCTCTGCTTCTTGGGAGCCTGCTTCTCCCTCTGCCTCTCTCTCTCTCTGTCTCTCATGAATAAATAAATAAAAATCTTTTAAAAAAATAAATAAATAAATAAATAAAAATAAAAAGGAAATAAGGGGGTGGCTTAGTCGTTAAGCGTCTGCCTTCCACTCAGTTCATGATCCCAGGGTCCTGGGTTAGAGCCCCGCATCAGGTTCCCTGCTCCACGGGAAGCCTGCTTCTCCCTCTCCCACTTCCCCTGCTTGTGTTCCCTCTCTCGCTGTCTCTGTCAGATGAATAAACAAAATCTTAAAAAAAAGAGAAGGAAATAGGATTGTTATGCAAGACATATACACAAAGGCGATACCCCCACCTCTTCTCCACAACTCAGATACCCAACATAATTGTGATTATATATGCAAAGTACCAAGCACTTTGCCCAGCACGGAGAAGGAGCTCCAAAAATGGCACCTAGTATTGTGGTGTGGTTCCCACCTACTTCTCAGTCTCATCCCGACCCCTTTCTGTCTTGAACTTTGGCAACGTCGAACTGCTTATGGTCTTGTCTCCTATTTCCCATTCCACTCCCAAGTGTACATTTTCTCACCTCCTGATCATTGTTGCACAAACCAGCTAGCTCTTCCTCCTGGGAGTATAGATAAACAATATTCCCCAGCCTCCCCCGCAGTTAGATGTGGCCACTTGAACAAGCTCTAGCCAATGAAATATGAACAAGAGCGATGTATGCCATTTCCGGGCCCGTTCCTTCAAACCTCCCACATGCTCTTCATGCTCTTTCCTCTTCCAAGGAGAGCGGAAAACTTGAAAGCCCCATGTTGAAGATGGCAGAGCCACAGGTAGAAAGCACCAATGTCCCTAAGTTAAAACATGAAGGAGAATCATCCAACTGATTTGGATGTTCCACTAATTAGTGAGATGTCAACTTCCATCATGCTTAAGCCATTATATACTTTTGGTTTGATGCGGCAGCTAGGCTTACCTAAATTAGTACCTCCTGCTGTCTCATGTCCCTGGAATGCCTGTGACTGCACCCTGCTTCACTGCGGGAACTCCTGCTTAGCCTTTAAACTTCATCTCTGGCATCACATGCTATGGAAAGCCTTCCCTGAGCAATCCCCCAACTCCTAGACTCGGGGTGAGATATCTCTAGCAGACACTGCACAGTTGACTGCCCTTTGTTCATTCTCCCTTACTTCCTAGTAGAATCTCAATTTTATTCAGGGCAGTAACATACCCAGTTAAAAATACCCATTTGTCAAGACTCCCTGGGAGCCTGCAAGTCATGTGATCCAGTCCTGGCCAATAAAATGTAAGAGGAAGTTGCTGGATAGAGATTCTTAGGGAAGCTTTTTTTTTTTTTTTTTTAATGTAGGCTCCACACCCAGCATGGAGCCCAATGCAGGGCTTGAACTCACAACCCTGAGACTGAGATCAGAGCCAAGATCAAGAGTCAGACACTTAACCAACTGAGCCACCCAAGTGCCCCTTTAGGGGACCTTTTTTAAAAAGGAATAGATTGGGCTCATATCTGCCCTTTACCTTTTTCCTTTACGCTTCCTGCCTTCCCACCTAGAACTCAGATGCAATGCCCGGGAATGGAGCATACATTTTACAACCATAAAGAAGACAGCCATGCACCAAGGCAGAGTAGAAAGAAGATTCCAGGTTCCTCAAGGAACCATGAAGCCATCGTACCAGCCCTGTGCTGCCTCCATCTGGTTCTCCTATAATGTGGAAATAGAAACTCCTAACGCTTAAATCCTGGAGCGAGGTGTCTGTTTGGCCCAACTGAAAGCAATCTTAACTGAAAGCTCCGAGCTCCTGAGCACCCTACGCTCCCCTCACTGTTGGATGGAAACACGGTCACACTCTGGAATCATCTGCTTGAGAGTCGGTTTCCCTGACTTGTTGTTTGAAGGCATGGGGCAAGCACTGTGTGCTGAGGGGATGGGGACGAGGGACGCTGTTGTGTCTTCCTCAGCCTCGTTCTGACACACAGAAAAGGCCTGCAGCCTATGGCCTTCTTGCCCCCTCTCTCCTCCATCAGCCGAGCATCGGCTCTATGACCTCTGAGGTAATTTCAAGCTCTCGAATTCTCGGATTCCATCCCACATCCAGTACACTCTCCACACCGAGGAGGCTACCAAAGCATAAGACGCAGGCTGGGCCCTCCGTCCGGCAAGTACAGGAATGCATTAGGAGAATGACAACAGCTTACACAGCAATTCGTTATATATATTATATTCGAAGGTTATATAAAATGGGCCATTTTAAAGCAAAGAATTCAGTGGCATTTATACCTCCACAATGGTATGCAATCACCCCTTCTATGTAACTCCCAGACCTTCCCATCACCCCAAAATAAAACCTTGCACCATGAGCAGCCACTTCCCATCCTCCCCTCCCCCCCAGCTCCTGCCAACCACCAATCTGCATGCTGTCCCCGTGGTTTCCCTATCCTGGGTATCTCATAAAATGGAGTCACACAACAGGCCAGCAAGGGCAGGTAGGGCCTCAGCGTTCACACCGTAGGGTGACATTTAGCTTTTCTTCGCTCTGACCGAGGTCTATTCCCACTGCAGCTCGAGTGGCTGAGGTTAAATGTCTTTGCCATCCAGCTCCTAGGAAACCTTTAAAAATAGGTGTGGGATGAGCCTCAGATTAGGTAAAGAACTTCTATGAAGTGGAGGGTAAACTGAGGGTGAACTGGGTGGCCTGGGTGAACTGGACTGCTGTCTAGCAGCACTTCTGTGAGAAAACACTGCTAGTTTTGGTATGTGGCAGGGGTGGGGTGCGTGCGTGTGTGTGTGCGTGCGTGTGTGTGTGTGTAAACAAACATCCTGGAGCACATACAAATTTCCTTTCGTGTACGAATAATCTTTACAGATCACAAAGCTCTTTGACATCCTTTCTCTGCAGCTCCCAAAAGGAGGCAGGGCAAGCACTCTCCAGCCCGATTTATAAATGGGGCAACCCCCATTAGGTGACTTGCCCAGAGGCGCACAAAGAACAAGTGACAGAGCCCCAAGCCTGCATGCTTTCCTTTCGGAATGGCACACTTCCCCTTCTTTGATGTGTTTTGAAAACCTTAAAATACCTTTAAGAACCTGCTCAGTCATCGCTCAGGTGGAGTGAGAAGAAAATGTGTTTGCAGGATATATTTGTCAAAAACAAAATACCATAGGCTGAGTGGCTTAAACAGCATACATTTATTTCTCACTGTTCTGGAGGTTGGAAATCCAAAATCAAGGTGCCAGATTTGGTTCCTGGTGAGAACTCTCTTCCTGGCTTGCATATGGCCATCTTCTTGCTGTGTCCTTACATGGTGGAGAGAGCTAGAGAGAGCTCGAGAGAGCCAGCTCTCAGGTGTCTTTTCTTGTAAGGGCTCTAATCTCACCATGAGGACCCCACCCTCCTAGGCTCCCTGAACCTTAAATACCTCTGAAAGATCTCATCTCCAAATACCATCAAACTGGAGGTTAGTGCTTCCACATATTAATTTGAGGGGGTGGGGACAAAAACATTCAGTCTACAATACAGGTGGAAACCCATCTCTTCCTCATCGTCAGTAGGGACCATATGCTGCAAGCCAGCAAGACATTGGAATGTGCTTGTCAAAAAAGACAATTTAACCTAACTCTAGGATGGGGGTGGGCAGCAGGGAAAGAGGACAAAATTCAGAGAGTTTTAAGAAGAGAGTAAGTTTGCAAGATTTAGCAAACAAAAATATCAAACATCTACTTAATTTTGAATTTCAAGTAAACGATAATCTTTAAGTGCAAGTGTGTCTCCTGCCTAGTTTGGGATATCTATTTCTATATCTGTATCTATATTCATTTTTTATCTCAAATTCAAATTAACTTGGTGTTCTGTGTTTTTATCCGGCAACCCTAAAAGACAGGGGCCAAGAACTTTGAGACGAAGAAATGGATTTCAGGAGGGACTGCTGCAGGATCTCTGGACTGATGCTTCCTTTATATATTTAAATTTTTGTTTAGTCTTCTAAAAATACCACCTGGCTTTATTTCTTATTGTAACCCGTGCATAACATAAATGGACCATCTTAACTATTTTTAAGTGTGTGGGTTCAGTGGCGTTAAGTACATTCACATTGCCGTACAGCCATCACCACTACCAATCTCCAGAACTTTCTCGTCATCCCAAACTGACGTGTCAAAGGAAACCAGAGCTACACAGTAGCAGTAGAAAGAGATTTTATTCAGGACTTTGCAACAGAGGGAGAGACCTCGGTACAGAAGCAGGGTCACTTGCAAACACAGCACGGACGAGTGGGGATTTATAGCCAAGGGGCAGGCGGGGCGGGGGTGGGGGCGGTGAATGGAAAATCACTAGGAGGGTAGGTAATTCTTTGCTCCGCTGACCAACAGCATTCTCGCTGAGGGCAGCCAGGGCGAAGGGCTAGCAGCGGGGGGGTCGTGGGGGGTGAGGCACGTGGTCAGAAATGGAGGGTGATCTGACGTAGAGGCTAGGGGATTCCGCTAAAGCGACTTCGCAGGGTTCTCGCTACAGCCTGGCGATGCAGGGCGAAGCCTGTTTGGGCAGAGGATTCAGAGGAGCCTGAGTCCAGCGCGGTCAGAGAAACCGCAGAGAGAAACAGGAAGTCTGTACGCAGGAAACCATCAGCCCACCCGCCGCACGCCCACCACTCCACCCCCCGGCCGGCCGGCCGCCCCGGAGGCCCAGCCCGGGCAGCAGGGCGCGCGCGGGCGGAGGGAGGGCGGTTCCGGGCCCCGGCCGGGGTCGGGCGCCGGGGCGGCGCTGAGGGGCGGGCGGGCCCGAGCGGAAGGCGGCGAGGAGACGGGGCGCGGGGAAGGGCGAGGGCTCGCGGCGGCCCGGCGCCCCGCAACACGCGCGAGGGGGGCGGCGGGGGGCGGTTCCGCGCCGGGGCCCGCCACTGGCCACCCAGAGCTCCGCCGGCCGGCCGAGCGCCCGGAGAGGCGGAGCGGCGGCGAGGCGGCGGCGCCAGGACCCGGCGGAGCGGGCGCAGCGGAAGCGCGGCGGCCGGAGCGGCGGGCGGCGGGCTGCGGGCGGCGCGCAGGTGAGGAGCGGGCGGCGGGCGGGTCGGGGAGGGCGCGGGGCCCGGCGCGGGGACGTGGAGGGGCGGGACGCGGAGAGGCGGGGAGGGAGGGGCTCCGGAGGCCGGGCCTGGCGGTGGGAGCCGGACGGCGAGGCCCGGAGCCGCCGCGCCCCTTCCTCCGCGGGAGCGTCCGCACAGGCCTGCGCCCGGGCTTCCACCCGCCCCGCCGCCCCGCGCGCCGCCCGCCGGAAGCGGCGCCGCGCCTCTGCCCCCAGTCTGACGGGCCCCTCCCGGCTCGCCTGCGCCCCGGGAGCCGCTCTGCCCGGCGGCGTGAGGCCGAGGCCGGGGCCGGGGCGCCGGGAGGGCCCTGCCGGCCCGCGGGACTCGGGCCCCGGGCTCCAGCCCTCCCTCCCTTTCGCGGCCCGCCGGGTCCCGTGACCCTCACGTGCCTTTGCCCCCTCTGGGCCCTGGGCCCTGCAGGCGGGCTCAACTGAACCCTCGGACCCCTTCCCTCCCCGGCCCCTCTTGGTTGACCTCTCGCTCACGGCTTTCTCCGCGCCTGCTTCCTGCCTGCCCACGCCGTTGCTGTTAACCTGGGCTGACGACCCTGGGCGCTGCGTGGTTTGCCGGAAGGATTGCATGCACTTCCGAGATTATAAACAGCCCTGGCAGGCGGGTATGGTGCTTGTTCATTTTCTGGATGGGGCCATGGTTTTTACTAGATTCTGTAAGGTAGTGGCAGCAAAGAGAAATATGATGTGAGCCCCACATTTCCAAGTAAAAAGAAACAGGTGAAATCGATTTAGTAATAGATTTTCTTTAACCCTGTGTATCTAAAATATGGTCATTTCAGCCTGTAATCAATATAAACATTTTAACGGGATATTCTACATTTTTTTTTCCTACTAAGTCTCTGAAATGCGGTGTACGTTTTGTACTTACACTACACCTCCACTCGGGCAGGCCACATGCAGCCAGAGGCTACCATATCGGACAGATGGGGCCTAAGGGCTTCAGAGCAAACTTCTTGCGGCGGTTCGCAGTGTTTATCACAATCTGGCTGCTTTATTTTTTCCTGCTAATGGCCCAAGGATAGTTATACCCTTAGCACTCAAGACCACTTGCTGTTCCCTACACACCTTTGTTCAAGTCCTTCTACCTGGAATGCTCTCCCCAATGCTCTCCCCATAGGGAGATGCGATTTCTGCTGAGAGGCTTTTGCTGACTCCCTTAACCTCTGGAGGGATCAATCACTCCTTCGCCGGTGCTTCTTCCCTAGCACTGTATTGTGGCTGAATTAGAGCACTTATCATGTCCTGTTGTTTTTGAGGCAGTCTCTGTGTCAAGCATAGTGTCCAATTCATCTTTGTTATGATCCTGGCTGGCATTTAATAGTTGATCCATAGATGTTTGGATACAGAAGGAGTAAACCAGGGGGGGCCTGGGTGGCTCAGCCGTTAAGCGTCTGCCTTCGGCTCAGGTCATGATCCCGGGGTCCTGGGATCGAGCCCCGCATTGGGCTCCCTGCTCGGCGGGGAGCCTGCTTCTCCCTCTCCCACTCCCCCTGCTTGTGTTCCTTCTCTCGCTGTCTCTTCCTCTGTCAAATAAATAAAATCTTTTAAAAAAAAAATTTTTTTTAAGGGAGAAGTAAACCACTAACTAGCTGTACTCAGTCTCTTAATTCTTGAATGGACCGGCTACTTCCTTGTTGAGATTTGTTCCTGTACGACCCCCTTCTGTGCACATACACACGCAGTTGGGGTAACTTACAAGGAATGCATCTCAAGGTGTGCACAGAGAGTATCTTCTACCTCTTACCCTGTCCTGAGCTTACAGATGGGAAAACAGGTACAGAATTAAGTTAGAGAGGCCAGCAAGTTTGCATCAATATGAATATAAATGGGGGGGCTTCTTGAAAGGAGTGCAGTGGTCTCAGAGGGTTGAGTTCCTGGGTTCGGCGTCAGCTGGCCCCACTTTGGCCATTTGATAGGAGGGAAGAGAAGTGGGGAGGCGAGGAGTAACTCCCCGGCCCTGATGAGGATTCGAGGCAGCTTCGGGTCTGGGAAGCTGAGGATATCGCTGCCCGAGAAGAAATGGAAGAGCCGACTGGTCATTTCAGATCTTGAGGAGTCCCAGTGTCGGCCGGGTAGGAGGACGGGTAGGAGGCCAGGGTAGAAGGAAGGGCTGGGGAAGCCAGCAGAGGGAGCAAAGGAGTAAGTTCCGGCTTGGAGAAGATGGTGTGCTGCGTTGGGAATAACCGCATCTTAGAGAGTGGTGTCATTCTCAGTCTGCAGAATGGGAAATGGGAAGAATCAGAGATTCAGAGAAGGCAGGCGACTTACCCAAAGTCACACCGTTCTCGAAGCCCACGTGAAGCCTCGTCAGCCCTCCCTGCTGCATTTACCCTGCCCCACCTCCACCTCTGTTGCACTCAGGGGCCCCACCGTGGTGCCGAAGAAGGTCTGTAGCGCAGTGCCAGGTCTGACTAATGTCTTGCTCACCATCTTCTATTGAGGGGCTGTGATTAGGCCTATTTCTAGGGGCCCGGTGCCTTAATATTCTGCCTGGTACGTCTCTTGCCAATCCAATCAGTGCTGTCTGCGGCGTGACTGCTGCTTCAGTGGCACCAGGGAGCCGAGTGAACTAAGCCCAGTATAAATAGACTCTGCCCTCATCTTGCAATTGGAAGGAGTGTTTTCCCTTCTTGGCCCCCACCCCCACATGCCCCTCCTTCCTCCTGGCCCCCCTTAGCCATAGCCTGGGAGAGCAGAGCCCAGACACTGGCATATGCCGAGTCACCAGCCACTACCTATCCTGTCTCAGGAATAGGTCCTGAGTTCCTTGGGGTCAAAGTGAGAAGAACCCAGGAGTCCGCATTTCCTGTGCTTCTCTAGACCTGGGTATCATTTGGCAGTTGACACAGGCGTTCCCCCCTCCCCCCGCCCCCCAAATCCATCCCTCTGCTTGCAGCCTCTTTTTAACCGCAGCCAGGGTTTCCTTCTTGTTCGGCCAGGCTTGGGAGGTTGAAATGAGATCATGTATGGAAAGGGTACCTAGCCGAGCAGCAAGCACCTTCTCTGACCACTTCTCTTCAGTCTCTGTTGTTGCTACCGCTTTCCCTCCCTCATTGACTCCACGAGCATCAACAGAGTGCCAGCTCCTGGGAGCGCCTGGCCTCCCACCCACTGCTCTGTCCTCCACTCCCCGCCTCCACTGGCGGGGCCTGTGGCAGACAGTTGGGGTGGGGGGCGGGGCTCTCTTCTGGCACCTGGCCCCTCACGCTCTGGTTCCCACCCACAGGCACCATGACTCCCACGAGGACCCAGCACTCGTTGGCGGGGCAGACCTATGCAGTGCCCCTCATCCAGCCAGACCTACGGCGAGAGGAGGCCATCCAGCAGGTGGCGGACGCCCTGCAGTACCTACAGAAGGTCTCTGGAGACATCTTTAGCAGGTGGGTGCTGCCACCCACCCGCACCTGATTAGGGGCTGGGCAGTCAGCGTGCACCCTGTGGCCCTTTTGCTGACCTTGGTGATTCGGCTGGCTTCCCTGTGCCCAGGGGGCCCAAGGTAGGAGGCCATCGTAGAAGCTCTTTCTCATAAGTGCTCATCGGAGCTCACTGCTTACTGTCCCACTTAGTCCCCCCAGTTCCCTGTGGATCCACAGGCCCCAGAGGTAGTGCTCCTCTCCCAACTCCTGCCCTTCTCCCACAGGGGTGCGGGGGGTGGGGTGCCTATGTCCTCACTCATCCTGCATATCACTCGTATCCTGAATATTTATTTAACACTTGTGTGCAAGGCATCATGCTGCTGTCTTTAGTTATAGCAAGGAGTAAGGCCGTGTCCCTGTCCTAACTGGAGAGTATACAGCTTTCCCCCACAATCAGAAAGTTCACGTTCTGCCACTTTTCTTTGATGAAAGACCAGACATTCGTACCTGGGTTCACTAACTGGAAGAAATCCGAAGCGGATTCTCACTTTTATGAACTGATCATTGCTTCTTCACTTCACGTCATTTTAGCTTACCGGAGGTTTCTCGGGAACACTCTGCTGTGGAGAGTGGGGGAAGCCTGGACTCTGGCAGGAGACACGGACTCTGATTAACCACAGGCATGATTAGTTCTTTCATTACAATTGTGATTAAGACCTATTTATAATAGTTTCGTAAAAACTGATAGTCATGCAGCATGAACCGTGTGCTACCGTGGATCTGAGTGTGTTAACTCATTTAACCCTCAGAACAACTTTATGAGAAGGTGCTGTTTTCTCCATTCTGTAGATAAGGAAACTGAGGCACGGCGAAGCGATTTGCCCGAGTGGCAGAGCCGGGGCCCACGCCCAGGTACTGTGGCTCCAGACTCTGGAATTACCACTGTCTGTCTGTGAAGGGGAGATAAGGTGTTACAGGAGTTGGTCTGGGAGGGGGGGTATCGGGGAAGGCGTATGTGAGGAAAACATGTCTGGGGAAATTGAAGGGGGAATCGGAGTTATTGTGAGAAGAAGACTGTTCCAGGAAGAAAGAAGGGCGTGAGCTAAAGCCCTGAGGTGGAAGGGACCTGAATGGAAGCCAGTGTGGCCGGAGCAAGGAGTGAGGGGTTGAGGGGGTCACGAGGCCGGCGAGGTAGGCAGGGCCCTAGGGGTGATGACGGTTTTGAGTGGGAGAATTTCCAGTGCTCATCTGGCACAACCCTGGGGCCATAATGATTTTCACTCGGTGGTTATTTAACATGAGTTAATGGTGTTTGCTGTTTCCTTGCAAAGGCCCCAAGGTTTTGTCCTGCATACAGGTCTTTGTCTTTCTCTGGCTGTTAAGAAGCCTGAGATGGGGCTCAGATCTCCTTCCTGGGGCCCACCCCATGCCTTCTCACAGGGCCCTTTTATCCCACCCCGTGTGAAGTCGTCTGATTGGGGTCCTCCCGTGGTCCAAGTCACCCCCTCCCCAGACCAAGAAACCCCAGCTACTTCGCCGGGAAACCTCCCCTTCACCACCGGGAAGCCGGCCTCCTCCCGGAAGCCTTCCCCAGTGAGAGCAGAAAATGGGTTCACTGTCTTCGGTTAGACTTGGTATAAACACCAGACCGTCTTACTCTTCAGCCTCTGACGTGCCCACTGACTCCCCTCCCTGCCCAAGCCTACCCAGACTATAAATGTAAGCAGGGGGCCATGCCCCCGAGTGGTGAAGGGGGTTTGGCGTGGGAGCAGCCTGCGGGGCCTCCAGTCTGGCTTCCCCACTGGCTTGCCCTGTGAACTCGAGCAGGTTACTTAATCTCGCTAAGCCTCAGTGTTCCCGTCTATCAAATGGTGTTAACGATGCTACCTTCCTCATAGGATTGTGCTGAAGATTGAGTAAATTGAAACTTGGGAAGGAAGTAAAGCACCTGGCAGCTAGTAGGCATTCAGGAAACGCTCCCGCTTTTCACCCACTGCTGTCAGCCCCGATCCTCTGCTGCCCGTCGTGGCCCCCCATGAACTTGCTATCAGTAGTACGGAGAGTGTTATGTGCCCTTTCCGTGCTTGTATTTGTGCTAAATATGCCCAAGAAACACCTTAGCAAGAGGACCCAGGCCTTTAAGAACCATCAGTCCCAGATGATAGACTCCCCATGCCCAGTGACTGAAATGGAGGCAAGAAACAATCCGTTTTCTCACCAGGACTGTGATCGTATGCTTGCCTTTGTCTAAGGGAGCACTGGAGTTTTAGCGTACTTTCCTTTCCATTCCTGGTATTTGGCGCCTGTAGACAGTGACATGTCCCTGTGCCTGGGGATGGAATGAAAAGAGGGCAGGAAATCTACCTCTTGGGGGAAAGCGGTGAGTGATGGGCCCTCCGAGCAGCTAGGCATGGGCCAGGGGGCTTAGGGTGCCTCTCAGGAGCCCAGTGCCTGGTCACTCCACTGACCTCCCACCATGTGCCAAGCCTGCTGGACCCTGAGGGGTCCTGATGATGTGTGCAACCTGGTTCCTGTCCTCAAGGATCTTATAGTCTAGAATGGAGGAAACACTAAGTCTAGATGGATTCTTCATCGTGTAGCATGAACTGTGTCGGCTTCTAGGAATCCAGAAAAGAGACAGTAAGTAGGAACCGGAACTCCCCAAACCAGTTTAGGCAAACAGTAACCAATCAGTAGAGCAGGATTTGGAGTTGGCAGGGCTTAACTGGTGTCATCAAGACCTGATTCTTCTTCCATTCCATCCAGCTCGCTGCTTCTCCGTCGGCCCCATTCCCAGAAAGGCCTTGCTCTCCAGCAGGGCTGGAGCTCCTGCACTCGCATTCAGGTCTAGTAGGAAAGAGGGACACCCTCTGTGTCAGCCTCTCCTCAGAAGGCCCATTGGCCCGGCTGGGTTCTCGTGTCTATCCCAGAGCCCATTGCAGGGGCAGAGGGCATGACACACTGATGGGCTTAGACCCCCTAACGTGCATTACTCCTGAGCCCTGGCTTTAGCCCCACCTGAAGTGCAGGGACTGAGCCTGTGGGAGCAGCGGGTTCCCCAAAGAAAAGGAGGGCCCTTACTTGAGTAAGGAAGAAGTGGATGCTAGAGAGGAAACCTGCCTGCCTACCACACATGGTCAAGGGAGGCCTCCTGAAGGAGAGGGGCATGGACCAGGCCGTAGGAGGGATAGGCCGTGGTCAGGCAGGGCTAGGAATGTGGGTGTGCAGGGCCTCTGGTGGGCTCTAGAAACGGGTGCCAAAGGCTCAGGGGCCTGAATGGGAGCCTGGTGTCTCCCAGGCTCCCCAGGGGAGGCTGGCCTGAACGGGCACGTCTCGTCCTGGGAGTGTAGACGCTGCTGCTTGCCCCATACATCCAGCTCCTGCACGGCACCACAGGGTGTGAAGAGTCACCTTTGTCTGTGTCCGCGGGCCTTGCTTCCCCCTCTGAACATGCGCCCTTGGGAGCTGGCCCCGGGCTTCTCTCTGTGCTCTGCAGTGCTCTGGGAATGTGCCAGGGCAGAGGGAGGGGGACAGATGGTGGGGCGAGTGAGCAGTTAGGGTAAGTAACTTAGGGCCCGTGAGGGCTTCCCCTTAACAGGACAGGGCTTTGCGCTTGATTTGGGCCTTGTAGGGAGCCACGGGAGGCTCTGCAGCAGGGAAGGGTGCGACAGGAGGGCTGAGGGAAGGCTGAGCTGGCAGCCATCACAGAGTGGCCGGGAGGGGAAGCAGGGGCCTCCCCGGGACGCACTGAGAACTGTTGCTGCAGCCAAGGCATGGAAGGGGTGAGGCTGCAGTCCAGGGGGGCGGCAGGCAGGGAGGGCTGGATAAGAGACATTTCAGAGGGAATAATGACAGGACATGATGACAGATTGGGAACAGGATGAAGGAAAGGGAGGGGTTAGGGCTAGTGAGGGTGGTGCTGGCCTAGACCCAGCCTTATTCGCCTGCTGCTCCCACCACCCCCCCCCATCCTGCAGCAACCCACACACCCGTGGGCTTTTCATTTTTCATGGGCTTTTGTGGGGGGAAGTGACCCCGGCTTGGAATCTTCCCCCTCAAACTTATTCCACCAGCTTGAAAACCTCTTGTAAAGAAGAGACCGGTGGGTATCTGTCTCCTCCCCACCGCTCTCTCATTTCAGGCCCAAGCCCCTCAGCCGGGGGGCTCCTGTGCCCAGTTCGGCAGGTAGGGGAGCTCATGGCAAATTAGCATTCTGAGCTGGTCTTCTTCCTCCTGCTCTGCCGCAGCGGGAGCCTCCGGGAGCCTGAAGAGAATGACAAGTGCCTCTCAGGCTCTCCTGGACCTGCGCCTCTCCCTGCCGGGCCATCCGCCCTTCCCTCACCTGGGAGAAGCCAGGCCCCAAAATAGCCGCCCAGAGACATCACCTGCTTCACATGACTTAGATGCCGAGGCAGAGGGGCCTGGAGGGGCAGAGGGAAGAGGAGCTGGACAGCTTCCGTGTGTGGAAGTTGGGGTGCCGTCACTTGCCTTTCCCGTCATCCCTCATGTGGCGGGGAAGCCGCCGCCTGGGGAAGGATTCCTTTTCTCTGCCAAGCTTTTCCCCTTCCTCTCCTTTGTCTTTCCAACCCCTCCTTCCTCCCTTTTCCTCGTTTCCCTCCCCCGCCTTCCCATCCTCTCCCGCTGCCTCCCCTCCCCCCCTTCTCCCTCCGCCACCGATTGGCACCTGGTGACTCCCAAGGTTAGGAAGCGCTCGGTCAGCTGGCTGCATGATTAGCACAGCATTCCTCAGCAGCGGGAGCGGAGGAGGGAAGGCCCGGGCAGGTTCAGGCTCCGCAAGGCCAAGGAGAGGCTGGTGTTCCCTCCTCCCCAGCAGCCTCTGTGGGCAGGTGGGAAGGCGTGCAGGGGTGCTGATTGCAGGGCGGCTGTGGCTGTGAGGGAGTGGGGGGGTCAGCATGGGAGGTGGGGCCCCCAGAGCCCACGCAGTGGTCCCTGTGGGGCTTGGGGGAGGGCCTCCCCCGCAGGAGCCGCTTCCTGTAGCCCTGTCCTCTGCCTCCATGGTGTTCCCTGTGAAGTGCCTGCCTCCTCGGCCTGGACCGTCCTCCCCCGTGTCTGCTCAGCCCCGCCTCTTGTTGCTTTCCTCTGAGCGCCTGGAGCCCCTCATCCCCCCCAACCTTGTGGGTAGTAATAGTACTGAGGACCCATCTGCTAGTACGGGAACACTGGGCACACAGTTGCTCATTCTAACCTTTACAGTAATTCCATGGTATAGAAGCCCCATCCCTGTGTCGCAGCTGAAGAGGCCCGAGGCATAGGCCAGTTCAGTGACTTGCTCAAGGTCACACTTCTGCTAAGTAGATGTTAGAGCCAGGTTTGTGGGGCACACTAGTCACTTAACATCCTGGGGGATGTGTGCTCCCTGATTCATCTCCGTCGGAGGCTCTGAGCAGACTGAGCCAGTTCCATTCCTGACGCCCACAGAGGCGGCCCTGGGGTCTGGGCAAACGGGTTTTGGGGACTTGGCTTCAGTGATAAGCTTGGAAACTGACCTGCCTTGAAGCAGACCACCAAGCCAGGGGCCGTAGGTGAGGAACGACAGACAGATCGCCCTCTTGCCGCTGTTCCCCCACCCGCGTGGAGGACACTGCTGGTCGGCCGTGGCGCTCTGTCCCAGCCGCGTGTGGCCTGCCGGTCCTTCCTGATGCCGCCTTTGGCACTGCCACTGCCTGTCCTTTCACCCGTGCTCTGCGCTCTCGGCACCGCGGCTCCCACCTGTGGGACACTGGACTGGCTGGGGGCTTTGTCAACAAGCAGGCCGTTACTTGACTGGTGGGCTCTTGGATAACCCTGGAAACCCTGTCTTCTTTCCCCTGCCCCCCACAGCAGCCTCCCTTGGAGCATTCCTGACAGGTGCTCATCCCGCTGGAATCTGATTTGCAAAGCTCTCCTAGAAAGAAAGTTTACCAGAAAGTTCTCCTTGTGCAGAGCCAAGGTCTACTTCCTTGTAACTCCACGCACTGGTCCTCATGCCGCCTGCTGGGGCGACAGAATAAGTAGCAATCGCTTTTCCACCTGCCAGCACTGTGTTGGTTTTGACATATGGAGGGAATTACCATGTTGTCTAAGTCACCTCCGCTGTAGCCAGAACACCCTTCAGTCGTCTTTGTAGGACATGAGTGGCTCCCTCCTCACCATCCTCATCACCCTCCTTTGGACGTTCTTGAACTTGTCACTTTACATTCAGCCAGTATTTGTTACATGTCAGGCACAGTCCCACGTGCTAGAGACACAGCAATGAAGACAGACCTTATAGTTAGTCTAGAAGGAATTCAGAGTCCTCTTAAAATGTGGATCCAGTTTAAAGGGGATGCAGCTGTGGAGAGGTTGGTGCCCAGCACAGATTAGCTCATTAAGCTGGGGTCTGTTTTCTCTCTAGTGCCCCCAAGAGAGTGGATGTCCCCTGTTTACTGAAAGAAGGGAGGAGGGACAAGGAGCTGTGTGCCCCCAAATCCCATTTCCTTCTCAAGCTGCTTAACACACTTTTAGCTCACACTGAGCTCTAGTTAACCAAAACCTCAGGCCTTGCTAGCCCTCCTTCTGTGTTTGTGCACTGGACTTTTTACACCTAAATGCTGGACTTCATCCCTTGTCAATTTCATCTTGTTGATTGCAGTCCATCCTTCCCGCCCTCAAGATTATTTGAGTCTTGATTCCCCATGCAGACCGTTTTGACCCTCCTCCGTTTGATATCCCCAGTTTACTAACCCAGGGTTTCGTGGGCTGAATGGGGCCCTGCCAGAGACCTTTGTGCAAGGCTGAAATCAGTCCGTTCTTCAGCGGTGCCCTTTGGGTGCTGTTGCTCATCTGGCTCTGATTTTTCCTAAATGTGCTCTCCTCCAACCCCCATAGCTCCATCTTGTCCACAGGATTTTGTGAGAAGCTGTCAGAATCCTTGCTGACTGAGGGTACACTGTGTTTAAGGTTTTCCCCTGATATACCAGTCTAATGAGCCTGTCAAAAAAAGAAATGCTGTGATTTTAGAACAATGCTGGCCCCTGGGATCTGCCTCTTTCTCTTCGAAGTGCTTACAGACCCTCGATTTAATAATCCATTCTGGAACTTCGCCAGAGTTTATGGTTAAGCTTTATGTTTGCAACTTAGAGAAATCAGTCCTTCTCTCCTTGATGGAAGAACCGGAACAGAATAGCCTTTGTCCCTCTCTAGTTCTGCTGTCCCTCCCACTCTCCACGTTGACTTCAGGCCAAGTCGTCATAACCACTGAGGTGGCTTCCGCACCCCGGAGGCAGAATGTAGTCGGGCTGGGAGCTGGAGGAGGTAGCTTGCGCGTGAGTACCCTTTCTCAGCACATGGAGACCTTTCTTCCTGCCAGAAGAGATGGAGCTCATGCAAGTCTGGTTCTACGTTCTCTCACTGGAAGGAAACTCGGCCCTCTGTTCTCTCTCTCCTTTGCCACCCACTCAGCGCAGTCTGCCAGGAAGACTGAGCTGCTTTGGGTACCTGCTTGTACCTCAGCCCCCCACCTCACTGAGCCCCCTGCACATAAGGAGCCAGGAGTAAGCAGGGAGACTGCAGGGAACCGAGACCCCTGGGCTGTGAAATTGGCTGATCTGGTGGGTTCTCTGGGGGACCAGAATCCTCTAGAGTTGGTGGAGTTTGATTTAGAAAGATTGGCCGTTCAACCTTTAAGGAAGTCCTGGCATTCCCTGGGTGCATCGTCTCTGACCGCAGAGACCATGGGGACCCTCTGCCATCCACTGCGGCCTCTGCCTTTTCCCCGTAAACTTGCGATCGCGGCTCTGCCTCTTTCTCAGTTGCGTGCTCCCTCCTGCCAGGTGAGTGCCGACATGCGCCCTCTCTGAATGTGAAGCGTGGCAGCCATGGGCAGGGGCTGGTGTTCTTGCAGGAGGGGGAGCATTCGGGAGGAGGATGCCCTGACCCCTGTTTAGCCAGTCAACTCTGCAGGGAGAAGGCCCTTGCCGTTGCTCAGTAATGTGGGACAGCGTGAGGCTCCTGCGCATTTACGTTTAGGGCACGTGGGTGTTAGCCATTCAGGGAGCCTCTCCAGGTGCTGGCGCTGGGAAAACAGTGGGAACAAAGCCAAACCCTCACCCCCTCAGAGCACAGATAGGCAATAGATGCATGTCAAGTGGCTCTGTATGGAAGGGGGTCGGAAAGTGACAGGTGCATGTTTAGAGTTGGTGGGCGGGAAGGCTTCAGTGAGGAGCGTACCCCGTGACGCAGCCAGCCCCGTGGCTGTCTGCAGGGATGGCACTCCATTTGAGGCAGAGGTCACATGGTAATACATTTGGCATGTTCGGGGAAGAGCAGGACACTGGTGTCACTGGGGCCTGCTGCACCCCGAGCAAGTGCTCTGACCACAGCCACCAGAACCATGGTGAGGACTTTGGATTTGCACTGTGAGCCATTTATTATGTGTCAGGGCAGTTCCCCGTGATTGGGTCTGGGACTTGATTTAGACCCAGCTTTGCCCGACCCTCCTCCTTGGGAGCTCCAGTCTCCTCATCTGAAAGTAGGCGCGTAGGTACAGGAGTCATGACGATTTTCTCTCTGCTTGCCCCTGCTTGAGGCTGTAAACTCCTGGAGGCAGGGGCCCTGTCCCCGACAGGTGGCACATCCAGGTACCACCTTGGGGCCAGGGTGATTGCCCATTCCTACCCAGAGCTCCAAGAACTTGGTAGAGCTCATTTCTAGACCCTTCGGGTTAGAGACCCTGCAGAGGTCACCTGGACAGTTCAAGGTCAGTCATGACAAGCAGGTAACACTGTATTTTAAAGGCTCTTGCCGAAGCCCTTGGCTTTGCAAGTTTGCAGATAGAAGCAGGGTTGCAGGAGACTGCAGGGGCTTGGGGAGCAGCCCTCAGCCCGTGTTTGTTTTTTTTCCCATGGCAGGATCTCTCAGCGAGTAGAGCTCAGCCGGAAGCAGCTACAGGCCATTGGAGAGAGGGTCTCCTTGGCCCAGGCCAAGATTGAGAAGATCAAGGGCAGCAAGAAGGCAATCAAGGTAGACCGTGTGGCCCTGAGTCCCCGTGGCTGGCAGGCAGTCCCAGAAATCCCATCCCTATTACCTCTTCATGCTCCTGACGTTGCCCAGGTCCCTGCCCGCCTTGCCCAGCCACACCTCAAGCCTTCCTTCTGCTCAAACCACCTCCCCCGACCCTAGACTCTCTGGAGCACCTCAGACTCCGTGTGTCCATAGGTGTTCTCCAGTGCCAAGTACCCGGCGCCAGAGCGCCTACAGGAGTATGGCTCCATCTTCATGGGTGCCCAGGACCCTGGCCTGCAGAGACGCCCCCGCCACAGGATCCAGAGCAAGCACCGCCCCCTGGACGAGTGGGCCCTACAGGTCTCATGGGCTCATACACTTAACAGGGGGTGACCAGAGGTGGCCCTGGGTGTCGGGGATGAACTGAGGGTTCTGTCCCCTAAGAGGATTTGGATTGGGATGGGTGGTCACTTTGGCCTGGCCCCGAAGCCCACCATCCATGTGTTACCACCCCTGCCCCTGCCAGGAGAAGCTGAAATACTTCCCCGTGTGTGTGAACACCAAGCCAGAGCCTGAGGACGAGGCCGAGGAGGGGCTCGGGGGTCTTCCCAGCAACATCAGCTCCGTCAGCTCCTTGCTGTTGTTCAACACCACTGAGAACCTGTACGGCACACGGCAGGGCCCTGGGAGGGCGGCTGGGTGGCCTGGCCTGGCTCTGTGGGAGCCCGGGGGGCATCAGACTCTGGTGCAGAAGTCTGCAGGCTGCGCAACCCGGAGCCGAGCAGCTTGATTGACCTTGTGAGGCCTCGGAGTCCACAGTACAGACTAACTGTGGCCCTGATGAAGTAGGAAAGCTGGGTCAGGACCATGGGCCTTGAGCAGATGGACTGCCCAACATCCACCCCACCTCTGTAGGTACAAAAAGTATGTCTTCCTGGACCCCCTGGCTGGTGCTGTAACAAAGACCCACGTGACGCTGGGGGCGGAGACGGAGGAGAAGCTGTTCGATGCCCCTTTGTCCATCAGCAAGAGGGGGCAGCTGGAGCAACAGGTAGAGCCAGATGGTGCCTGTGGGGGGCGGCTGTAGCGGACAAGCAGCGTGGCCCGCCAGCGTCCTCCTCTAGGTGACGGGTCCGTTGAGCCCCTGCTCCCACCCTGCTGCACATGGGTATGCACGAGGTCCTGCTCACTGCCCCAAGGTCAACCTGCAGGGCCCAAGCCCCCTTCAGCCCCCACCCATGCCCCCCACCTAATCCTGCAGGTTCCAGAGAACTACTTCTATGTGCCTGACCTGGGCCAAGTTCCTGAGATTGACGTGCCATCCTACCTGCCCGACCTGCCAGGCATCGCTGATGACCTCATGTACAGTGCTGACCTGGGCCCCGGCATTGCCCCCTCCGCCCCTGGCACCATTCCAGAGCTGCCCGCCTTCCACACAGAGGTGGCCGAGACTTTCCGGCCGGGTGAGCTGAGAGTAGGAGTTGGGCAAGAACTCTCTCACTTGGCCACTTGCTTTCCTAGGCGCCTCACACTTTCCCACACTTCTGTTTCAGACCCAGAAGATGGGGTGCTAACAGCACCCCCCCCGCCACCGCCGCCGCCTCCGCCTCCCCCAGCTCCAGCTGTGCTGGTCAGCGCTCCCCCACCCCCACCCCCACCCCAGCCCGTGGCCTCCCCGGGCCAAGGTGCCAGGGAGGACGACAGCAGTGGTGGCGTGTCTCCTTTAGGTAAGAGCAGCACCAGGGTTCACGGAGGGGGCAGGGTGAGGGGGGCGTGTGCTCTTTGAGGGTGCCTCTAATTTCTGGATCCCTGAAGGGTTTCCTGTAGGTTTATGTGACCATAGATTCTAGAAAAGTTCTAATTTCAAAATCTTGTTCCACTGGGTTCATGAAATAGTGGCTTTCAAACTGTAGCCCCCCAGAATTCTCATCTCCAGGGCAGAGGGAGCCTGAACGTGGACAGGTGGAGCGGTGGTCCCCCATTCCCACTTACACCAGTGGGAAAAGGGCGGCTACTGAAAATAGTAGAAAGCTTCAGCAACAAAATATCCATATCCTTAAATTGCAGGATTTCAGTTTTAGCAGGACATCTCCTGGTCTATCTCCAGCACCCAGAGGCAGCACAAAAACCCCATGTTGGCTCATGTGTCAAGTTCAGACACTGTCTGCACAGCAGCAGATTCCCACGACCCACCTCTGCGCTGGCCCAGGTGGCGTTGGAGAGGGACCTGGGGTGCCTAGACATAGGACTTGCTGAGCTCAGGCAGATGCAGGCAGCATCCGGGCTGCGGACGGTCTCCCAGGGCTCGGCTTCACCCACTGGCTTCCTTTTTCAAGAGGAAGAGCCCGTTCTCACAGCCAGGCTTGAGGGGAAGCCTCTGGACCCCCAGAACCTCAGGCTGGGCAAGGCGGTCCCGCAGCGTGGCCTGCCTGAGCAGCCCTCTTCCTCACACCCTGCCCTCACATCCAGCTACAGTCCAGGGAGCTCCCAAGGAAGTGGTGGACCCCTCCAGTGGCCGGGCCACTCTGCTGGAGTCCATCCGCCAGGCTGGGGGCATCGGCAAGGCCAAGCTCCGCAGCGTCAAAGAGCGCAAGCTGGAGAAGAAGAAACAGAAGGAGCAGGAACAAGGTAAGGACCCTCAGCCCACTCCGGGAGGGGGGCTCTAAGGAAAGGGCCACCTTCTGTAGCCTCCACCGGACTCCCAACAGGGTGCTCTCTGCCCACCCTAAAGGTCAGAGGGGCAGCACCCAGCACACCTGCCCCATGCTTTCCCCAGGCTGTCTGCAGGAAGCCCTGGGTGGCCGTCCCTAACATTCCCACCCTTCCTGTTTGGGCTATGGGTTCCTTCCCGGTTTTGTAGCCTGCTTAGAACCTTCCTCTCTAAACTAATATATTGGAGACAGAGCCTCAACCCCGCTCAAACTATAACAGAGCATCTTCTTAGATTCTGCCAGGAGCTGTCCCAGGACATGGGTGGGGACCTGAGCTGCTGTAGAGACTGCGGACCTGAAGGGTTAGCTCAGTCCCGCTTCTCCAAGCCTCTCGAGGCTGCAGGTTAGGTGTGCTGGGCATCCTAAATGCAGCACGAACAGAACACCTGGGCCCAAAGCCACAGTGCCCTGGAGTCCCGAAGTTGAGTTCCAGCTAGGTTTCCGAGCTTTGCGCTGTGACCTCAGGCAAACTGCCCATCGTCTCTGGGCTCGTCCATACAACGGGGCCCCTCCCACCTCCCCGCTTTGTCTCACAGCCAGTTTAATGGTGCCCCAGTGCTGGCCCCACTGATGGCTGGCAGCTCCAAGAGTTGGCCGTGATGCGGTGGCAGCAGGGGTGGGGGGTGGGGGGGTGGGGGGGGTGGGCGGCGCTGGCTGGCAGGTGTGGATAGTGAGCAAAAAGAGGAGAAATATGACCAAACCCTGAGGAGGTTACTCCAGGGGCAGATTTTGTCCTTGGTCCCCTCATCTGACCCATGACTTTTTCCTGCTACAGTGAGAGCCACAAGCCAAGGTGGGGACCTGATGTCAGATCTCTTTAACAAGCTAGTCATGAGGCGTAAAGGTAGGAAGCAGCCTGGCTGCCTTCCCTGGGCTGGGAGCCTCAGGGTATTTTGTATCCTGCGCCTTCTGCCTTTTCCTTCCTGTTTTTAAGTGTCTAGCGGCTGGGTGAACTGGTATCCCAAACTAACCCCCCTCACCCTCCACCCCCCCTCCCAGGTATCTCTGGGAAAGGACCTGCGACAGGGGCCAGTGAGGGGCCGGGAGGAGCCTTCGCCCGAATGTCAGACTCCATCCCACCCCTGCCCCCGCCACAGCAGCCACCTGGAGAGGAGGAGGAGGATGACTGGGAATCCTAGGGGCTCAGCCCCTCCTTCCCCGCCGGGACGTGCATACGGCCAGGACAAGCTGCCCGTGCAGCAGCGGGGATCGTGGAGGACTGTCCCAGGCCTGTGCCTGCACCTTCTTCAAGGAGCGAGGTGGCCAGCTTCTGAGGCCAAGTGGCTGGGAGGGGGGGGAGCCCTTGTGCTCTCCTCCAGCCACAGACTAAAATAAATACATGAATCAATACAAAAGTATCATGCAAGAACCACTTTTAATTAAGGAACCCTAGCTGTGCGGAGGGCAAGCGTCTCCTCCAAGCTGGCACCTGTCCTCCCGCTCCCCCTGGGCTCCAGCGGTGGGGGCAGAGCACCGAGTAGACCACGGCCCCCGTCTCTGGGTCAGGGAGAGCAGAGAGGTGCGGGCAGTAGGGGCGGCTGTTGCAGATGGAGGGATGGAGATTTTCACACAGGGAAAAATGCCTCCGTGACAGACACAGGGTCTCTAAAAATAGTCCTGCTGGGAGCCTAATAGCCCTTGGCATCATTGTTGAAGTCAGGGGAGGAGGTGTCGTGGAGTTTGCTCAAGTGGCTGAGTGGGAAGGAGGTGCCACTGCCTTGGAGGAGGACGTGGAGCCAGGCCCAGGGAGCCAGACATGCTATGGGACAGGTTAGGGGCCAGCACTGTGGTTGGGGGGAGAAAGAGACCAGCAGGTGGGGAAGCCAGCACATGGCGCTCTTCCCAGTTCTTAACACACAGAAGGTAGGCTTGAGGTGGTCAGGGGCCCCTGGGCAGAAGGAGCCCTATGGGCACCAGGGAGCTGGAAAACAGGGAACGTTCTTCGTTTTGAAGAGAAGGTGAAGGTCTAGTACAGCAAACTAGCCGGAAAGGCTGGAGGGCACGTTCCGCCTCATGTGTGAGTGCGCAGGCACTGAGGGAAGGACAGAGCTGCCGCGGTAGAAGGCTGGCCGGGAAGCTGGACTCTGGGCCATGCTGAATATGGGCAAACATTCAATTCCGGGAGCAGAACTGCCCCGGGATGGGTCCCAGGATGGCCACGACCCACCATTTCTTCAGGATCAACCTGATGTTCTCCTACTGGTTTTTCCACCTGTGCCTGGTCCTGGCAGCCCTCTGATTCCAGAAAGGGGCTGGTCTGGTCTCCAGCTGGATCCTTGCAGAGCAGGCCCAAGACAAACCTTTCAAGTGGGTAGCGGGAAGGAAGAGCCTGGCACCCAGGCAGTGGTGGGCCATCCATCAGGAAGGGACAGACTTCTCCCGATGAAACTGAGGCAACGGGAAAGCAGTGAGGCACGAGACCTCGGGGGTGGGGAGTTCCCAGGCGGGGGGGGGGGGGGTGGCGAGGGGAGGGAAAGGCAGGACCGACCTTCCTCATAGCAGCAAAGGCAGGACCAAAGGTGGCTTTGACCTCCACACGGTCTCGGATCCAGGCTGGCAGCTTGCCCAGGATAGGTGGGCGGGCATACCGCTGATCCAGAAGCACTATGCTGGCAAAATCCTTCTGGTGCCTGATGGCCCTGCCTAGATGGGGACAGAGGTTGGGGCTCTTAGTTAAACCAGCCTCCCCTGCTGTACATTTCTGTCGTGCCCCCTCCTTCCTCAGAAAGACAAGGAAAACCTCTCCTTCCTGTCACCCCATTCTCCCACCATGCATCCCAAGAACCAGGAGCAGTCCCAGGCCTACCTATAGATTGGTTGACAGCCTTCATACACAGGTTCTCCACCAAAGCCTTCCCTGGTGGTGGCTGACCCGGGCCTCTGGGCTGGGGAGGGCAGAGCAGAGCACTTGTTAGCGTTTTCTTGCCCCCCGCCGCTCAGTGTTCTGAGAAAATGGCACCGCTCGGCGTGGGAGCAAGGGCAGGTGTCACGGGCACAAGGCCAGCAGCAGCTCTAAAAGAGACCGCAGAGCAGCTCCAGAGGTTAAGAGGGTGCGTCCCATCCCCTGGAGCGGACAAGAAACACTGGCACGCATCGGGGCAGTGGGCAGGTCACAGTGGTGCGGCCCTGTTACCACAGCAGCTTCTCCCCAGCCGCCTCCTCCTACCCTCTGGACACTGGAGGTACTCACTAGGGTCTGATCCAGGTAGGCCATCTTCTCTTGCAGCTCTGGAGACTTGATGTTGGGGTAGGGCATGCCTACCATAACCACACACCTAGGTGGAGGGAACATGAGCCCATGGCACGTGGGCGGTCAGGCCCCCAGCGCGTTTGCCAAGGGCCAGGATGAAGGACCCAGGCCTCACCCTCACGTCATCGACAGCTATATCCAGCGCTCCTTCAGCCCCCTCAAGTTGTGCTTGCAGCCTCCGCCTCCCCCTCCCCACCTGGAGTAGGTGTGCTCAGTCGAGAGACCCAGTGCAGACCACATGAATAGAGTCCTGACAAGATTATGCTCTGCCTAATTTCCACCTGGAACCTTTGGCCAAAGGGCCAAAGCAACCTCCCCGCACAGCTGAGTGACGCAAGCAGTCAGCCGGGGGTGCAGACTCGGGACGGCATCAGCTTGTAGGCAGGGACCCAGCTGTTTTGTGGAGTGAGGGGTGATGAATAGCGGAGCCCGGGAGATGAGAGGCCCACAACTTACCGGCCGAGGTTGTCAGAGAAGTTAATACCTTCACTCATCTTTCCTCCAACCACAGAGAGGAGCAGAGCACCTGTCACCGTGCCTCCCGCCTGGCCACAGCACTGTGGGAAATACCAGCCCAGGTTGTGGAGCCAAAGCCTGGATGCCACACAAGATACTGGCAGCTGCCCACCATTCTCTGGACCCAAGGCCTCGGAGTTACTTCTCACCTTAATGCACCTGGAATACTCCATCAGCACCTGCTCCACCTGGTTTGCTCTCTTGGGTTCCTGAAATATCTGAAGGAAAACAGACAATGCCTCCCAGAAAAGGGTTTCAAATGCCTGGGTGCCAGCTCTGCTCTTGGCCTTTATGTTTTCCAGGTTGGGAACTGGAGAAGCCCCCAGAGTAAGGGATCTAGGGAAATTCTCCAAAGGTGATCAGGGGTTCCAAGTGGTGGGGGTAAGGAACTAAAAGAGGCCCAGACATGAGGCCTAACCTTCTGGTCTGACATGCATGAGAAATCCTAGCAGGAACTCTGGGTACCACTGTCCTCACAAGTGGGAGATCCAGCTGAGAGGTCACTCACCTTTTTCCTGACAGCCAGGCGGGCCAGCAGACCACTCTTATCCCAGTGGGCATAGACCTGGCGTTGGTACTCATAGGAGGGGAAGAAACAGACCACCCCTCCAGGGACCACAGTGCACAGGTTACACAGAATGCGACCGGTTTCATCCATCTAAGGAAGACAGAGAGCCCTCCCTGGAGCCATTCCTGAGGCCATATCCAAACAGTGCTTCCTGACTTTGGGACTCAAAACCAAGTATAGAGATCCAAGGGTGACTACAGTCATGGGGGAGACCTGTGGCCCGGAGCGCCCCCCTCCCTATCACACACATCACGATGCTAAGTGCACCAGAGCTAAAACTTGTTGCTGGCGTGTCGCCAAGGCCTCCCTGCTCCGATGCCCAGTGCCTAGTGGGCCACTGGGGACTAAGCACCATCTACAACATCGGCCACTGAAAATCCCAGGTGCGCCTCTCGCGATAGGCCCCCAAGCCCTGCATCCCTGCCCAGGGCAGGGACCGATATAACCAAATGGCAAGAGAACCAAAGGAAACAAGCAGCTTTCTCATCAGGTTCATCCTGAAAGGATGCCTCGAGGTTCTAAGGAAACATATCTAACAGTTTTTTTTTTTAAGATTTTATTTATTTATTTGAGAGAGAATGAGAGACAGAGAGCACGAGAGGGAAGAGGGTCAGAGGGAGAAGCAGACCCCCGCTGAGCAGGGAGCCCGATGCGGGACTCAATCCCGGGACTCCAGGATCATGACCTGAGCCGAAGGCAGTCGCTTAACCAACTGAGCCACCCAGGTGCCCCATATTTAACAGTCTTAAGGGGTGAGAAGAGGGGGAAGCTCAGACCTCCCCTGAGGAACATCCAGATGGACACTCTCCAGCCTCTGCCGGCTCTGAGGTGGAAGACCCCAGCACTCATCTCCCCAACACCCGAACACTAAGCACTGGCCAGGGTGCCCAGCACCCCCGAAACCACTCTCCTGCCCCGGCAAAGGCTGTGGTAAGGCAAGCAGGCTAACACTAACCATCTGCGGCAGCTCTCTCTTCTGGTACGTGAACTCCAGCTGCTGGCTGGAGGGCCCACTGCAGATGACGAGGGGTAAGATATTGTCTGGAGGGATCACGTGACCTGCAGAAACCAGGGAAGGGGCTGAAAGCGAGGTGCTGACGATTCTGTAAGGCATGGTCCGGAAAGAGCATTCCCCAACCCTGTCTTCCATGCCAGGAGGAGCAGTTCCCACTCTCGCCCACCCGCCTGCTTCCACAGCACACGTGGGCGGTACTCAGACCTCTCCACGG